CCAAAGGCGGTAAACCCCTCCCAACAAGCACGGCTCCAAGTTCGAACCTTTATGCACCTGGGCTGTGTCAGGTGCCTTTACCACTGCACCCAACGCTTGTTGGTCCATATTAAGCATCTTTGAAAGTTCACGTATCCAATTCCAATCGTGTGGGGCCAATAGGTGACTTTTGTATTCAATTGTGCCCATCGCACACTTCATGCTCATTTACACTGCCTTAATTTGGATGCTCTGCAAAGACTTTGACTCTAATTGTGCCCATCCCACGCCACTTTAATAATAATGGGTTTTTTTTTTTGGAGTTTCATAGGACCACAATGCTGTCGTGTTCATCTCATGTTTATCAATTTGATGTCTATATTCAATGTATATACAAGCTCCAAAGACCGAAGACTTGCTACCTTATAATTTGCTTATGCCACGTTTTCCCGTTAAAACTAAATTTGAAATGCTTTTTATCTAACGCTATCCTTCAACTTGGAAAAATATTTCATTCTTTCCAAATGATCACTAAGCTTACAAAATTGATTTATCTTTTATGAAAAATATGTTTTAACTTATAATTTCTTATAATCAACTTATCATTTAGCTGAGAGGTGTTTCAGACATTTTATCAAAATTTTATATTTGTAATTTCGGATTGGGTCTTTATTTTCTATTTTTCAAATTAAGAGTCATAAATCGCAATTTCATATATTGGGAGGCTTTTATTTGTTATATCTCAAAAAAAAAAACTGATAGTAATATTAAAAAAATATTTAAAGATATTCAAGCTGTAACATGATGACATGACGACTCTAGTCCTGTCCACGCCACGCAGGCCCATAGAGCTAGACACTAGGCTAGCGCTAAGATCAACCTGTTTGCCAAAAGGTAATGGAGGGTGGTGATTTTTCAAAACTAATAGGAAAGAAAGACTTGTGCATTTTCTAATTGTCTTCCATTAGGTGTGAATCCATATTAAGCATCTTTGAAAGTTCACGTATCCAATTCCAATCGCGTGGGGCCAATAGGTGACTTTTGCATTCAATTGTGCCCGTCGCACACTTCATGTTCATTTACACTGCCTTAATTTGGATGCTCTGCAAAGACTTTGACTCTAATTGTGCCTATCCCACACCACTTTAATAATAATGGGTTCTTTTTTTTTGGAGTTTCATAGGACCACAATGCTGTAGTGTTCATCTCATGTTTATCAATTTGATGTCTATATTCAATCTATATACAAGCTCCAAAGCCGGAAGACTTTGGTTTTTTTTTTTTTTTCAGATCAAAAAAAAAAAGCCGGAAGACTTACTACCTTATAATTTGCTTATGCCACGTTTTCGTGTTAAAACTAAATTTGAAATGCTTCTTATCTAACACTATCCTTCAACTTGGAAAAATATTTCATTCTTTCCAAATGATCACTAAACTTGCAAAATTGATTTATCTTTCTTGAAAACATGTTTTATAATCAAGATTTCTATAATAAATCTTATTGTGCTATATATGGTTTTTAAAAAGTTTCAAAAAGTAAAAAGTAAAGTTTGTAATTAAACACCGAATTCGTTTTCCTTTTAGGTGTTGTTACCATTTCTAATGGAAATCTTTAAATGAATGATTTAACATCAAAAGGCCAAGTAACAAGAGAAAGAATCAAGAGGTTACATATCTCTTTTGAGTCTATGTCAACAATATTAAACGCCCAAGACACTCATATGAACAAAAACGAAGCAAAATGAAGCCTTGTTATTGCTCATTCAGGTCCATAAAAAGCCAAAGGAGATGTTAGGGGTGAATAAAAACATGGAGCCTGTCTAGTAGAAGTTAATGGAGGGTAATGATTGTTCAGAACAGTTAGAAAAAATTTAGGCATTTTCTAATTGTCATCCATTTTAATTTGTGTGAATTCATTATGCATCTTGGTGTCACGTATTCTAATTCCATTTGTGTGGGACAATAGACCACTTTTGTATTCAATTCTGCCCATCTTACGTCAATGGTAAGTTGTCCTAGTAATAATGCTACTTGGATGAGATCTCAACTTCAAAAATAATATTATATGTTTTTACTAAAATTTAAGAACAATAAGTTTTTTTTCTTTCGGAGCCACATAAAGACTTAATTTAATTAATTTTAACGAGGACCATTGACGATGATGTTTCTATTCTTCTTTGATTTTTCAAAAAGGAAAAGAAAGAAAGTGAAATATATCATGTATCATAATTATTACAGTTGTCTATCTGACGGATTAAACACGCACGAAGCTTTAAAAACCAATTTGATAAATAGATCAAATTCGTGTATGTGGAGAGAAAAACACATGGATTTTATGCTAGAAAAATTGTTGAACAATTTTGGTGCATGCGATAATGCACTAGCATTCTCTGGGATTTTCTCTCTGTTCTCTCATGGATGTCTCTCGGTGTCATTATTTGTCACTATTTTTGTGAGAATTTATAACCATTTTTTCCATGAGGAAATTCTGTTAAACAATATATATATATATATAAAGTGTAGTTTGACAGTATCTTGTTAGTCGAAATTGTGGGGTTTTTGAGGTAATTGTTGCATTTTAGCTATAATAAGAAATGAGAAATCATTAGCTTCTCTCTGCATGCCCTTCCATTGAACTAGACCCGAAATCATTAAAATCACATACATCACCTCCGTTATATTCTTCTAAAATTCCTAACTTTTCTTTTGTTTAACCAAGCAGTAGTCTCTATCTAAATGTTTGAGATAGTTTTATTATTACCAACTGGGACCTTAGAACTTCTGTTTGAATTTAAGAAAAAATTAATCAATATATATGCATATATAATGGATTAAAATCTATAGCCATAACTTTACTATTCACATATCAATCAATATATATGCATATATAATGGATTAAAATCTATAGCCATAACTTTACTATTCACATATCTATATGGCATTTATTTATAAGCAACATGCAGCAATTAATTATTTGAAAAAATATGTTACAAACTTTAGTTTCTCTTTTGAGAGATAATGTCAATTAACTTCCACACACATCAGCTCTCTCTTTCTTTTTTTTTTTTCAATTGTCGACCTACATTTTAATATAGACAAAGGATATTAACAATGATATTTTCCTCCTCCTTTGATTTTTCAAAACAATTATAAAAAGAGAGCAAATTATAATACTTGTAACATTTCTTTTCAAATTCCTATTTGAATATTTGCTCAGTGCATTTGGAAAAGTCTTTTAACCAAGTCAAAGGCCATAATACTGGTAGTAATAGAATGTTATGTTGAATCTTTGCTTGAATTGTAAGATGCAAGTAAATTTAATACCTAAATGAATTGTTGGCCATTGATATGCGACCGTGACTTGCAAAGAAATTACTACCCGATCTTTGACGTTATTGATAATTCAGATTTCGGAACTTGAAAATATTAATTATTAAAAATTACTGGAAGAAGCCTAAATGAATTACACGTGGTCATACTCCATTTGCCTTTGGGCATACTCCAATGACTTTGACGCTAACGACCATCACCATTGATTGCGTGGTGGTGGCCCGCGGTGATTCTATTTTGTTATCACTGAAAATGTCTTTCAGCGGCAATAAATACTCACTTTGCAACTTTGATAAATATCAACAACAGTCGTCACAGTAATAACTTGGTCACGATCAACTTTTGTCACTAGTAAAAATCAGTTTTTTTTTTTAAGCAAATGCACTTTATGAACTTCATTTTAATTGTAAAATCTTAAAGGCACACTATTTGAACAACCAGTGCCGAGATCCAAAACCCAAATACGAGGGCTTTAGAAGATTTCCAATGAAAAGAAACAGAGTTGTGTGGATTATCTCAGGAATTTGGGCTTTTGGAATTTGGCATAGTGCTTCAGTCTTTCACCTCAGACTGGAGGTCGCAGAGAAAGAGAGGCAGCATTTTCAATTTTTTCATAATAAGTTTTTTTCAGCAGGTTTCTTTTTTCTTTAAAATATAAAAATGATCATATTAGATGATTAAAATTTCAACATATGTTTTTTACAGCATTTAATTGCAAAGTTATTATTTAAAACTATAGGGAAGCAATTGAAATTTTATATAAAATTAGAGACATAAACGCATACCTCGGCCCTTATTTCTCTTTACATATATTATATACATGTTACTAAATGACACCTTTTTTTTGTTGGGTCAACGTAAGTAAATTACACTTATATTTTGAGACAAAGGAGTGAGGAAAGACTCTAATATTGACTAAGACCACAGGCAATGACCATTTCATTCCATTAAGGCAATGCCACGTGACAACCTTTTTTCTTTGTTTTTTTAATAATAGTCAAAGTCATCTCACGCGTTTTTAAACATCACATGATTAAAAAGTTATACTGCCCCGGTAAGATGCCATCAACTACTTCCCACACAAATATTCTGATTCTAAATATAAGACTCATTTTGTATTATATTTAAGACCAGAGGAGTAATAATGTTGTCATTAAATGTATTGCAAAATTATAAAATTGTACAAATCTACCCTTATTTAATAATGTGATTTACAGGAATGTTTCCTGATAAATATTATTATAATAATTTATAGCCAAGGGTAAACTAGGAAAAAAGTCATTAATGACCTTGTTGGCCAGTTATAATGAGGACCAAAGTTTTCTCCTAGATAACCTCTTATAGCAAGCACTAGAGGAAGTAATATTTTTTTTAATGAAAAATAATTTATCTTCCTATAAATTAAAGACTCAACCTCTGCACAATCATCCGGCGATCAGTTTGCATGAGCCGATGGCATTCTCCAACATCATGTGGACTATTGTAATATTACTATTATGCCATGTCATTCCTTTCTTCCTCAGTATTGCTACCACCATGATAGGCAAGGAGAAGCATGCTCTGCTTCAGAGCAACTGGTTCAATGGCTCCAACATTAATTCAAAGGACCCCTGTGAGTGGAGTAGCATATATTGCAATGATGCTGGAAGCATTGTTTCGATAGAGCAATATGGGCCCATTTCAAACCAGCCTCAAGCTCAGCTAGCAGATCTCAACTTCGCTGCATTTCCCAATCTTGAAGAATTGGATCTTGAAGAAATGGGATTGATAGGTAAACTACCCTCCACTCTTGCCAACCTCACTCATTTAAAATTTGACAAAATTAGGATGTATCTCCAAATCATCAGCTATGCAGAAACATGCTTTACATTACATTTTGATGGTAACTTTAGTTATAAAGAAAATGATGGGGTGTTACCAGCTCGCTTGTGCTTTTCACCATCAAATTGTAGCATTGAATTGAGCCGCAATTATATCTGCCTAAGTGTAGCTAGAGAATTTAAGAAAAAATTAATCAATATATATGCATATATAATGGATTAAAATCTATAGCCATAACTTTACTATTCACATATCAATCAATATATATGCATATATAATGGATTAAAATCTATAGCCATAACTTTACTATTCACATATCTATATGGCATTTATTTATAAGCAACATGCAGCAATTAATTATTTGAAAAAATATGTTACAAACTTTAGTTTCTCTTTTGGGAGATAATGTCAATTAACTTCCACACATATCAGCTCTCTCTTTCTTTCTTTTTTTTTTTCATTGTCGACCTACATTTTAATATAGACAAAGGATATTAACAATGATATTTTCCTCCTCCTTTGATTTTTCAAAAAAATTATAAAAAGAGAGCAAATTATAATACTTGTAACATTTCTTTTCAAAATCCTATTTGAATATTTGCTCAATGCATTTGGAAAAGTCTTTAACTAAGTCAAAGGCCATAATACTAGTAGTAATAGAATTTTATGTTGAATCTTTGCTTGAATTGTAAGATGCAAGTAACTTTAATACCTAAATGAATTGTTAGCCATTGATATGTGACCTTGACTTGCAAAGAAATTACTACCCCATCTTTGACGTTATTGATAATTCAGATTTCGGAACTTGAAAATATTAATTATTAAAAATTACTGGAAGAAGCCTAAATGAATTACACGTGGTCATCGATTTCCTTTGGACATACTCCTCTGGTCCTATTTATAAGGTACTTCCAACATGTTTCACACAGACCAAGAAAAACCTTAAACTGCATTAACTCTCCATTAAAATATAGCAACTTTTCAATTTTACCCTTATTTAATATATACTCCTTTCAAAAAAGATAACTACTTATACTATAATAAATAAAGGACAAAATAATACATTCACACTAGAAAGTTAATGAAGTGATTTATAAATAGGACCAAAAAAAACTTTCTCTCTCTACCCTATAAATAGAATAAGAGGAGTATGCATACTTCAACTCTCCCATCTCATACGTTAATATCATGTCCATTTGCCTTTGGGCATGCTCCAATGACTTTGACGCTGACGAGCATCACCATTGACTTGCGTGGCGGTGGCCCGCGGTGAATCTATCGTGTCATTACTGAAACACTTTCAGCGTTAGTAAATACTCATTTTGCCCCTTTGATAAGTACCAACGATAGTTGCCACTTTTGTCACCAATAAAAATCAATTTTTTGTTTGTTTGTTTGTAGTAAGTGCACTTTATGAACTTCATTTCAATTGTAAAATCCTAAAGGCACACTACTTGAACAACCAATACTGAGATCCAAAACCCAAATACGAGGGCGTTAGAAGATTTCCAACAAAAAGAAACAGAGTTTTGTGGGTTATCTCAGGAATTTGGCTTTTTGGAATTTGGCATAGTGCTTCAGTCTTTCACCTCAGACCGAATTTCGCAGAGAAATAGACGCAGGATTTTCAGTTTTTTCACAATACGTTTTTTAAGCAGGTTTCTTTTTATTTTAAAATATAAAAATGATCATATTAGAAGATTAAATTTTCAACATAAGTTTTTGACAGCATTTAGTTGCAAAGTTATTATTTAAAACCATAGGGAAGCAATTGAAATTTTATATAAAATTAGAGCCATAAACGCATACTTCGGCCGTTATTACCTATATTATATACATTAACTAAATTACACCTTTTTTTTTTTTTTGTCAACGCAAGTAAATTAGACTTATATTTTGAGACAAAGGGGTAAGGAAAGACTCTAATATTGACTAAGACCACGGACAGTGATCATTTCATTCCCAATAGCGGCATTAACGGACAGTGATCATTTCATTCCAATAGGGCAATGCCACGTGACAACCTGTTTTCTTTGCCTTTTAATAATAGTCAAAGTCATCTCACGCGTTTTTAGATATCACATAATTAAAAAGTTACACTGCCTCCGTAAGATGTCATCAACTAATTCCCACAGACTAAGAAATATTAATTTTGTCATTAAATGTATTTCGAAATTATAAAATTGTAAAAATCTACCCTTATTTAATAATGTGATTTACATGAATGTTTCCTTATAAATATTATTATAATAATTTATAACCAAGGGTAAACTAGGAAAAAGTCATTAATGACCTTGTTGGCCAATTATAATGAGGACCAAAGTTTTCTTCTAGATAACCTCTTATAGTAAGCACTAGAGGAAGTAATTTTTTTTTAATGAAAAACAATTTATCTTCCTATAAAGACTCAACCTCTGCACAATCATTTGGTGATCAGTTTGCATGAGCTAATGGCAATCTCCAACTTCATGTGGACTCCTGTAATATTACTATTATGCCATGCCATTCGTTTCCCCCTCAGTATTGCTACCGCCATGATAGACGAGGAGAAGCATGCTTTGCTTCAGAGCAACTGGTTCAATGGCTCCAATTTTAATTCAGACGACCCTTGTGGATGGAATTGCATAACTTGCAATGATGTTGGAAGCGTTGTTTCGATACAGCTGCCATATGAACCCATTTCAATCCAGCCTCGAGCTCAGCTAGCAGATCTCAACTTCACTGCATTTCTCAATCTTGAAGGTTTGGGTGTTCAAATGGGATTGATAGGTAAACTACCCTCCACTCTTGCCAACCTTACTCATTTAAAATTTGACAAAATTAGGATGTATCTCTAAATCATCGGCTAAGCGGAAACATGCCTTACATTGAGAACCACATACATTTTGATGGCAACTTTAGTTATAACGAAATTGATGGGGTGATACCAGCTCAATTGTGCTTTTCACCATCAAATTGTAGCATTGAATTGAGCCGCAATTATATCTGCATAAGTGTAGCTAGAGAACTAGGAAAGTTACAATACAATTTCCTCAGCTTCTATAGATTCCAAGGATTTTTAATAGAAATGCAAAAATACTTGGAAAAGCTCCAGGATTCTTCTAAAATTCCTTTATTTGATTAGAAATAACTCACAACACATTTGCAATTCAAATGATTGGCTTTGATAAGTACTATTCCAATTCAAATTGGAGCTCTTTATAATCTCATTCGTCTAGACTTGTGTGATAATAATCTTACTGGTGAGTTATATATTTTTTGTTCTTACCTTGCTAGTTTACTCAATTTAGAATGTTATATTTACTCAATAACTTAATAGACCGCTCAATTTGTATTTTGTGAGAAATAACCTACAAAACATCTGCAATTCAAATGATTTGCTTTGACAGGTATTATTCCAATTCAAATTGGAGCTCTTCATAATCTCACCTATCTGGACTTGTCGTATAACAAGCTCACTGGTAAGTTATGTATCTTTTAATCTTACCTTGCAAATTTACTCAATTTAGAATGTTATATTTACTCAATAACTTAATAGACCGCTCAATTTGTATTTTGTGAGAAATAACCTACAAAACATCTGCAATTCAAATGATTTGCTTTGACAGGTATTATTCCAATTCAAATTGGAGCTCTTCATAATCTCATCTATCTGGACTTGTCGTATAACAAGCTCACTGGTGAGTTATGTCTCTTTTAATCTTACCTTGCAACTTTACTCAATTTAGAATGTTATATTTACTCAATAACTTAACATACCCTTCAATTTGTATTTCATAAGAAATAACCTGCAAAACATCTGCAATTCAAATGATTTGCTTTGACAGGTATTATTCCAATTCAAATTGGAGCTCTTCATAATCTCACCTATCTGGACTTGTCGTATAACAAGCTCACTGGTGAGTTATGTCTCTTTTAATCTTACCTTGCAACTTTACTCAATTTAGAATGTTATATTTACTCAATAACTTAACATACCCTTCAATTTGTATTTCATAAGAAATAACCTGCAAAACATCTGCAATTCAAATGATTTGCTTTGACAGGTATTATTCCAATTCAAATTGGAGCTCTTCATAATCTCACCTATCTGGACTTGTCGTATAACAAGCTCACTGGTGAGTTATGTCTCTTTTAATCTTACCTTGCAAATTTACTCAATTTAGAATGTTATATTTACTCAATAACTTAACAAACCCTTCAATTTGTATTTCATAAGAAATAACCTGCAAAGCATTTGCAACTCAAATGATGAATGGCTTTGATAGGTATGATTTCAACTCAAATTGGAGCTCTTCATAATCTCACCCATTTGGACTTGTCACATAACAAGCTTACTGGTGAGTTATGTGTCTTTCAATCTTACCTTGCTAGTTTATTCAATTTAGAATGTTATATTTACTCAATAACTAAATAGATCCCTCAATTTGTATTTTGTGAGAAATAACCTGCAAAACATCTGCAATTCAAATGATTTGCTTTGACAAGTATTATTCCAATTCAAATTGGAGCTCTTCATAATCTCACCTATCTGGACTTGTCGTATAACAAGCTCACTGGTGAGTTATGTATCTTTTAATCTTACCTTGTACATTTACTCAATTTAGAATGTTATATTTACTCAATAACTTAACAAACCCTTCAATTTGTATTTCATAAGAAATAACCTGCAAAGCATTTGCAACTCAAATGATGAATGGCTTTGATAGGTATGATTTCAACTCAAATTGGAGCTCTTCATAATCTCACCCATCTGGACTTGTCATGTAACAAGCTCACTGGGGAGTTATGTATCTTTCAATCTTACCTTGCAAATTTACTCAGTTTAGAATGCTATATTTACTCAATAACTTAATAGACCCTTCAATTTGTATTTCATAAGAAATAACCTACAAAGCATTTGCAACTCAAATGATGAATGGCTTTAATAAGTATGATTTCAACTCAAATTGGGGCTCTTCATAATCTCACCCATCTAGTGAGTTATGTGTCTTTCAATCTTACCTTGCAAATTCACTCAAATTACAAATGTATTTATGTCCATAACCTAACAGGGTAGGTTAACCTCAATTTTTACTTAATAAGAAATAACCTATAAGGCATCTACAACTCAAATGTCTGGCTTTAATGGGCACTATTCCAACTTAAATGAGCTTTTTATAATCTCATCCATTTGGACTTGACTTATAACAATCTTACTGGTAAGTCATATATCTTTCACTCTCACACAAGCAATGCTACTTTGTTCATCTTTCTAGGAAAAGTCACTTAAAAAACTAGAGTAGACAAATAAGGATACCTTGTAAACGTAATGCAACACTTCTATCAAGAACTAGTGAGCATATTCTTTCATTGTGCCCCCGCCACCTTCCTACCCCACAATTATTCAACCTTGTATACTTTTCATCAGCAAAAGGAATAAAGGAATATTAGCATAGATAGAATAATCCCAACCTTCTTTCATCATCACTATAGTATTAGTATGATATGAATATGAAAACACATGGGTGGGTAATAGGTGATGTCCTGTTAAGTAGTCTTGTAACAAGAAAATTCAGAGAAAGTTATGTTTAGCCACAATTTAAGTTTATTGTAATGTAAACCTATTGATGCAAGATGGGGAAGGAAAATGGGAAAAAGGAGAGAAAGAAAAGGAGAAAAGGGAGGACAACAAGAAATGAGGGAGAAATTAGATGGATAAAGGGAGAAGAGAATTTAGAGGAAGAGAAACTCAATAATATGTTTATTCAAATCATGAGTCATACAAAGCAAATGAATTGAGGTTCTATTTATAGGCCTTAAGCTAACTTAGAAATTAACACTAGAGCATTCTAGAATTTCAAAATTAAATGCAAATAACAATTAATGATAAAACATAACAATCAAATTAAAATTAAAACCAAATATTCTCTAATAATGATAAATAACTGAAATATCTAAAAATGCCAATTAATTATTAGTTCATATCCCATCATTTCCCCCCTGCTTGAAGAACTCAGCTCTTGAAGAGTTCAAATAGAGGCACAGATCTATGAAGGAAAGGGTAGGCTTGGTGCTTCGATATGAAAGTCCTTTCCAGCAAGTGAAGTGGTGAAAGAGAAAACCATGGTTGAGTGATTAACTTGATTAGACCTCAATATGGTACTTTGATATGGAAATCCTCTCTAATAGGTGAGGTATCAAAAGCCAGAACCATCAAGCGAATGATGAGCTTCATCATTGAGAACATATAGAAAGCCTTTCCAATTAGACAAGATACTCACGAGATGGTCTGTTAAGAAGTGAATCAACTTTAGGTCATACACCTTAAAGATGAGATTGAGATGCCATCTGATTAAGCTTATATTTGATGGTCACAATTTGAGGAGGAGTCACTTGGACGTGTGTAGCCTTAATAGCCTGATCATTGATTCAAGAATTTGTATCATTAACGATAATGATATCACTATCCTCAATCACTTGAATGACAAGAGTGTCCAATAGTGTCTGTTATGGCACACTTGCTAGTTGGGTCATTTTAGCACCATGAATAGGCTCTACATGTATGAGGGGCAACACTTCCTGTAAAGTTGTATCACCATTTTATAGCTTTAAGGGAGGAACTTTGACTTTTGTTAACTAGCTTGTTTGGTATAATGCCTCTTCTCTTTCCTTTTTCCCTTTACTAATCTGATCTTGCATATGCGCAAGCTTAGTTATTATGAAATTCAAATGTTGACATTCTTTAGCTTCAGTCTTGTAGTGCTCTTCATTAATCTTATATTCTTTGACCTTGGGCATGAATAAAGAGAAGCGATAATTTAAATCCTTATAGCACCCTTCGTCATCATAATGGTAAGCAGATTCATAATGGTGATGGTTGACATACTCATGATGATAATCGGCATACTAATATTGATGAACCAATTCATATTGATGGCAATTGGTATATTTATATCATTGATGATTAGCATACTCATGTTGACGACGATGTTCCTCATATTTATAGCATTGGAAACTTTCAAAATCATATCAATGCTGAATATACCAGGATGGAGTGCCATATTTGCATCGAAACTTCCTACACAAACTCGTCTATAACCCATATTTGCAGCCAAGTAGCACGGTGAATAGAGATAATAAAGCCAATTGTTACAAAGGTTTTAGAGTTTATGGTATGTTTGGCTTCTAGCTATGGAACATTTTAGAGTTAAGGTGTATTTGGATGTAGTGAAAGAGAAGTGGGAACCTAGCTGTGATGCCAATTGATATAGGATGAGAAAGGAAAAAAGGGAAAGGAGAGAAAGAGAAGGAGAAGAGGAGACGAGAAGAGGGAGGACAGCAAGAAAGGAGGGAGAAATCAAATGAACAAAGGGATAAGAGAACTTGGAGGAGAAGAAACTTAGTAATATGTTTATTCAAATCATAAGCCGTACAAAACAAATGAATTGAGGTTTTATTTATAGGCTTCAAGCTAACCTTAAAAACTAATACTAGAGCATTCTATAATTTCAAAATTAAATGCAAGTATCAATTAATTATAAAACATAACAATCAAATTAAAATTAAAACCAAATATTTCCTAATAATGATAAATAACTGAAATATCTAGAAAAGCCAATTAATTATTACCCTATATACTATCACCTATATTGTCTACCTTTCAAGCTCAATAAGTTGTGAATGACATGAGAAATAAAGACAATAACTTACGACACATTTGCAATTCAAATGATTGGCTTTGACAGGTAGGAGATTGGAGCTCTTCATAATCTTATCAATTTGAACTTATCTTATAACAATCTTACTTGTAAGTTATAGATCTTGCAAATTCACTCAATTTTAAAATGTTGCTTTTTATAACCTACAATATATTTGAAATTCAAATGACTAGCTTTGATAGGTACCATTCCAACTCAAATTGGAGTTCTTCATTATCTAGATGTTTTGGACTTATCTAATAATAATCTTACTAGTAAGTTATATACCTTCTATTCTCACACAAGCAAAGCCAATTAGTGGTATTCATACAAAATTTAATTTAAAAAAAAGAGTAAATGAATAAGGACACCTCGTAAACATGGTGCCACACTCCTGTCAAGAACTGGTGAGCATATTCTTTCATTATACATCCACACCTTCTTCCCCTTCGCAATTATTTAACCCCACATACTTTAATTTTCATTAGCGAAAGGAATAAAGGAAATATTAGCACGGATAAAATAGCCCCCCTCTTTCATCATTTATATGATTTTAGTATGATATGTAAGTGTGAAACAAGTGGTTGGGTAACATGTGAGGTCCAGTTAAGCAGTCTTGTAACAAGAAACTTCAGAGATAGTTATTTAGCTTTAATTTAAGGGGGTTGTAATGTAAACCTAGACTGTCTAGTTTTCAACCTTCAAGCTTAATAGGTTTGTACATGACATAAGAGGGTCTATTCTCTAACTAAATCTTTAAGGCAAAGTAGTTCTTTCAACAATATAATTGATTATCAAAGTGAACATCAATAAATAAGGCGGTGCAACTGGTCCGGGTGTAAGATTTATTGATCTTAAATGATGATTATCTCTAAAAATGTCAAGTGGAGAGGACTGATTAGCATAATTTTGATAGGTCACCCCTCAGTAATCAATTGGAATGAGCCATTAGTCAAATTTCCAAATTCAGCTGGGATTTTTCTAGTCATACTATCACTAAAAAGTTCCCTGACAGAGATAAGAACAAAAATGTAGATTTGAGCAGAAGGAAAAAGTCTAAACAAATAGTTATATGGTGATAGAATATGAGCCAAACTTGGGTAAGGACCTGTTGTGTTCAATGGTTGTCATAAAGTGATGATTGAAGCAAGGACACAAAACATCATTGATAATTGTCTGGTATGTAGAACCTTTGCTTTAGCAATAATTTATATAATCATCTCTAAACGCCAGTTGATGTCAAGCATAAGCTTGGGAAGAGTAAGAGACTGCAAAAGTTGATAATGCAAAACTGCTCTAGAAGATCATTAAGTGTCTTAAACAATTAGAGGAGGAGCAAGATGCCTTAGAACATCAACACCATGAACTAGAGAGTTTATCAAATTATAGCACCAAACAGTGATGGACCACAAGATTTATGAATAATAGATAGCAATAGTCATGATGATAACTAAGTAGATAAATTTTTTAGTTCTTCCTTTGCATAGGAGGAAAGGTTGGGATAATCTTAAATGATTCAAAACCTTAAGTCTTGAAATCACCCCACTTTTAGTATCTGTTCCTTTCAAGATGGAAGGTTCAGAATTGAAGTAATGAAGATCAACAATCTTAAGGTAGCGTCTAAGATAAATGATAGTCAATTTAGTTTTCAAGTCTTTTTCTTAAAAATATTACGTGTTAATTGTTATGTCTTAATTTTATATCCATCTTCATAACATTTAGTGAGAATTACTGAGGTCCCAAGGAAAAAATAATTATAAAAAAGTTTCAATGGCAAATGAGTAATATTCACTTCCTACCCAGAATTTGTCATTGTAGGTAGCTATATTGTTATTAGGATGTTTTAATAATTATGTTTGATCTTAAAAAATGGCAAGAATAGACCTTAGAAATAGAAAAATTACAAATAGGGACCCATTACAATAATAATAATATTGGTTTTAATTACAATTCATAAGCAAATAACAACAAATTTTGCGAATGGGTTCTTGTACACAATTTTTAAATTTTCAAAAAAAATTTGTGATTTTTTTTGAGATTTTATAGTAATTCTCTCTTAACATTTAATAGGGACTTGTTAATTTTTTTTGTTTTAATCTTTCTTACTCTATCATCATTTCTACGTTTGTCAGCCTTTAGCGGACAACTATAAATTTATTATGCTTTTATAAGAAAAATATTAGTTAGATTCTATTATTGGTGGGTAGATGAGTTGAAGAATCCAAGACAGACCAACATTTTTATCCATAATGCAACGCGTTTTCTTTGTCTTTTTTTTTTCTACTCTTATCTTGGAATATCTTGTTGGTGAGTTATATATCTTTCGTTTCTACTCTTACCTTGCAAATTCACTAAATTTTGAAATATTATATTTACCTCCATATAACCTAATACCTCTATTGACAGGGATCATTCCATCCCAAATAGGAGCTCTTCGAGATCTCACTAATTTAGACTTGTCTTTTAACAATCTTACTGGTGAGTTATCTATCTTTCATTTCTTCTCTTACCTTGTGAATTCACTGAATTTTGATATACCGTGTTTACCTCCACGCAACCTAAACCTATCTTTTAATAATCTTATTGGTGAGTTATGTATCTTTCATTTCTATTTTTACCTTACAAATTCACTAAATTTTGGAATATTATATTTATCTCCACACAACCTAATACCTCTGTTGATAGGGATCATTCCATCCCAAATAGGAGCTCTTCGAGATCTCACTAATTTAGACTTGTCTTTTAACAATCTTACTGGTGAGTTATCTATCTTCCATTTCTTCTCTTACCTTGTGAATTCACTGAATTTTGATATACCGTGTTTACCTCTAGACAACCTAAACCTATCTTTTAATAATCTTATTTGTGAGTTATGTATCTTTCATTTCTATTTTTACCTTGCAAATTCACTAAATTTTGGAATATTGTATTTACCTCCATATAACCTAATACCTCTATTGACAGGGATTATTCCATCCCAAATAGGAGTTCTTCGAGATCTCACTAATTTAGACTTGTCTTTTAATAATCTTACTGGTGAGTTATCTATCTTCCATTTCTTCTCTTACCTTGTGAATTCACTGAATTTTGATATACCGTGTTTACCTCCACGTAGCCTAAACCTATCTTTTAATAATCTTATTGGTGAGTTATGTATCTTTCATTTCTATTCTTACCTTGCAAATTCACTTAATTTTAGAATATTGTATTTACCTCCACACAACCTAATACCTCTATTGATAGGGATCATTCCATTGCAAATAAGAGCTCTCCAAAATCTTGCTTATTTGAACTTGTCTTCTAACAGTCTTACTGGTGAATTATGTATCTTTAATTTCTACTCTTACCTTGCAAATTCACTAAATTTTGAAATATTTTATTTACCTCCACACAGCCTAATAATTCTATTAGCAGGGACCATTTCATTATAGATAGAAGCTCTTTATAGTCTTATCAATCTAAACTTGTCTTATAATAATCTCACTGGTAAGCTATGTATCTTTTATTCTACTCTTGCAAATTTACTCAATTTTGAAGTATTATATTTACCTCCATATAACCTAATACACTCTATTGATAGGGATCATTCCATTACAGTTAGGAACTCTTCATAATCTCATTAATTTAGACTTGTCTGATAACAATCTTACTAGTGTTATGTACCTTTTACTTCCAATGCTACCATGAAAGTTCACTAAATTTAGTAATATTATATTTACCTTCACATAACCTAATATCTTTATTGATAGGTATCTTTCCATCAGAGACAGGAACTCTTCAGAATCTCGCTCATTTGGACTTGTCTTATAACCAAATTACTAGCTAGTTCTTTTCTACTCATACTACCATGAATTTTAATTTGATGAAGAAAACCTTGGACTATATTTGCAACTTAAAGGAATATGTTTTAACAGGTATCATTCCATCTCAAATTGAAGGCCTTCAATATCTCCAAGATCTAAATTTGTCACATAACAATATTATTTCAAGTAAGTTACCTCTCATCCATCACCACAAAAAAAAAAAAGACATTTGATGATGTCTTTTGGTGGGAACTTTAAAAAGTCACCACTAAAACTTAACTTTCTACAATGACAATAAAAGTCGTTGCTAAAAGTATGACTTTTAATGGTAACTGTTATAGTCACTATTGAAAGTTAGAGTTTCAGTAGCAACTTTTTAAACTCATCGATAAAGGTGACAACTTTCAGAACATAGTTGATGCTGGAAGTTAGACTATCAGTAGCAACTTATTGTCACCACTAAAAGTTAGACTATTAGCGGTGACAATAATAGTAGCTACTGAATGTGATACTTTCAGCAACGACTTATTTTGTTGCCACTGATTAGTATCAGCAATGGTTGTTACAGCAATGACTTGGTGACAACAAAGAGTTGCCACTGAAAACCTTCAATGACAACTTTTATTGCAGCTGAAAATCAAAATTTTTGTAGTGGATATCCAACTAAAAAAAAATTAAGAAATAATACATTAAAGAGATGTTTTAAAGGATTGCAATAATTAGCATGTTTTGGGTAAAAAAAATCTATATTTTGAAAAAATCATTTTTAAGCTTTATATGATATGAATTATTCAAATATGATAATTAAAAAAATATTGAATGGTCTATGAATTAACTACAATAATAATACCGTTATATGACTTGTCAACCATGTTAGAAAAGTTAAAAAATTACCAATTTATTAGGCACTAAAAAATCTCTCAAAATTAAAATATCTCTCAGGTCATATGATGATTATCATTATTAGAGTTGTTACTAACATTAAAGAGTTGTTAAAAAAAATTTACTTTCACAATTAACATGTTTTTTTTCAAATTGAAGTATCATTCTATTGTTATTTTGCTTATAAATTAATCACAATAATAAAGAACAAGCATGGACAAGCTTATGGCTGTAATGGGAAAGACTAGTTTAGCGAAGCTTTCAAAGTGATGGTAAGCTTTTGTCATTTGTAAACACATTACTATAATAATAGCTAACCTTTCTATTTATAAGGACTTTGCACTCAATTCATGATCACTTCTATTAGTTATTATTAAGTGATGCCATTATTTTAATTTGTTTACCAATGCTATTGCTACTATTATGACCATAGAAGAGAAGGACATACTGCTGGAGAGCAAATGGTGGAATATCAACGATAGTGGGTCTAACTATCATTGTGACTGGCATGGCATATCTTGCAATCTCTTTGAAAATGTGATTTCAATTGACCAGCCAAGAATCCATTCAAAGCAACCTCAGCTAGCAGATCTCAACTTCACTATATTAGAAAAACTAGAATATTTAAATCTTTCTAGAATGGGGATAACAGGTACAACTCTAATTCAAATTAGAGCTCTTCATTCATCCATGTGATATTAACACTTGTCTTATAATAATCTTACTTTCATTCCACCCCTGCCACCTTACTTGTTTAGAATTGCTCAACTTGAATAAAAACAATCTAGATAAAACCATTCCTTTAGTATCGTGTTTTATGACAAATATCAAAGACTTATGTTTGTACACAAACTTATTCACTACATTATAAAATATATTATATTTAATTTTTCCTGGAACGGTGATTGGTATAATTCCAACTCATATAAGAGCTCTTTAAAATCTCAATTACATGGACTTGTCTTGCAATAACCTTATAGGTATCCTACCTTCCACCTCAATCTTATTTAGATTTGCTAGATTTGAGCATAAATAAGATAGTTGGAGTCATTCTTTTAACTTTTGGGTTTTATGACAAATCTCTAAAACTTATATTTATACTCAAATTTATTTACTGCAGGTGATACCCCTTCTTCAATTTTTGCTCTAAGAGATTTATATCACTTTGATGTTTCTCAAAATCAATTAAGTGGTAGCATGCTAAAAAAATTTGGAATAGTTTTCCAACACTCTTACTTAACTACTTTCCACCTATGTAGACCTTATTTGTTTGGAATTGTTCAATATGAATAGTCATTCATTTAGCATTGCGTTTTATGACAAATATCAAAGGCTTGTATTTGTGCAGAAATTTATTTACTACATTATAAAAACTAGCACTATATTTGAATTTTCATGGAATGGTGATAGGTATTATTCCAACTCAGATAGGAGCTCTTCAAAATCTCATTTCTCTGGATTTATCTTGCAATAACCTGAGAGGTGTGCTACCTTCCACTATTGCCAAATTTATCTAGAATTGCTAGATTTGGGTAGAAACAAAATAGCTGGAGTTATTCTTTAAACTTTGGATTTTATGATAAATCTTGACAACTTATATATATACTCAAATTTATTCATTGCAGGTTATATCCCTTCTTCAATTTTCAATTTGAGAGATTTACAACACTTTATTGTTTCTCAAAATCAATTAAGTGGTAGCATACCAGAAAAATTAGCAAATTTCAATAATCGGTCTTATATAGACGTCTCCCAAAATAATCTGAGTGGAAACATACCATACTTAAATGATCATTTTCATTTTAATGGTAACTTTAGTCACAACAAATTCAATGGAATACTATCATCTAGTATATGCAGTGCTCCACCATTGTGTAGCATTGATTTGAGCTACAATAGTATCTCTGGTAGCATACCTACAGAACTTTGTAGGCTACAGTACATCAACTTGTCATACAATCTTCTTAGCGGCTATGTTCCAAGTGAAATCTATAGCTGTTTTCATTATGATTGTTTCAAGGGCAATAAAGAATTACTTGGTCTAGAGAAGATACATAAAGGCTCAAAGTCTTTGTTGAAAATCATTATTCCTTTGACAAGTTTTCTTGTCATCACATTTGTTCTGGGTTTCATCTTATTCGAATCATTCAGAAAGAACAAGAAATCCATAAGGGGTACAAGAGAAGCAAAAAATGGGGATTTGTTTTCCATATGGAATTATGATGGGAAAATTGCGTATGAAGACGTCATTGAAGCAACAGAGGACTTTGATATCAAATATTGCATTGGAACAGGTGCCTATGGAAGTGTTTATAGAGCACAACTTCCAAGTGGAAAAATCGTGGCATTGAAAAAACTTCATAGAAGAGAATATGGAAACACATCTTTTGCCAAGAGTTTTCACAACGAAGTGAAGATGTTGAGTGAAATTCGACATCGCAATATCGTAAAGCTTCATGGTTTTTGCTTGCATAGTCAATGCATGTTTCTCATCTATGAATACATGGAAAGAGGAAGCCTTTTTTATGTGTTGAATAATGATAATGAAGCAAAAGAGTTGAATTGGAGTAAGAGAGTGAACGCCATTAAAGGAATAAGAAATGCTTTGTTGTATATGCATCATGACTGTGCTCCTCCAATTATCCACCGAGACATAACAAGCAATAATATATTGTTGAACTCAAACATGGAGGCTTTTCTATCGGACTTTGGTACAGCTAGAATCATTGATCCAAATACATCTAATCAAACTCTTTTGGTTGGTACTTATGGTTATGTTGCCCCAGGTGAGCTTTTCATATTCTCTACTACTACTCCTTCTGTATTGTATTTTACTTTTATAGTATATTACTTATCTTGGGATGGATACATAATTTATTTAATTTTTGGGCCATTGCAGAGCTTGCATACACCTTAGTTGTTACTGAAAAATGCGATGTTTATAGTTTCGGGGTGGTGATATTAGAAACAATTATGGGAAGACATCCTGGAGATTTGATATTATCTTTGTCAAAGACTTGTACAGGAAGCATTTTGCTAAAGGATATTTTAGACTCACGTCTCCCTTTGCCATCATGGAAAGATGCGAAAGACGTGACTTTTTTGGTCGCAATAGCATTATCATGCTTGAACCCGTCTCCCAATTCTCGACCATCAATACAAAAAGTGTCTCAAAGGCTTTTATCTTCCAACCTTCCATTAGCCTTTCCTTTCAACAATATCTCAATCCAAGATTTAGTGAATGAAGATATGCCAATAATACAGTAACAAATTGGGAGATTTGGCTCATTGTTTACTTTGTACCTCAGACGAAACCTTTAAATACTTGCTTCAAAGTCTAGATTTGAAGTTTGCCATATGTTTAATTTGTTGCAATTGATATTTGTCTTATTCTATTTAAGTAATAAGGTGTCAAAATTGAATTATAAGAAATGTATACACAGAAGCAACTTAACTAAACTCACCTCCACCCAGAATATTTTTGTTACTAAAGTTGTCTATTGCAACTTGAAACTTTTCAAGCTGACCAAAATGAGTTTGAAGGGCCTTCATAGATCAGCTGCTAGTAAAAAGGCAAAATGTCAATAAATTGATTATCATTGTCATATAAATCATCAATAATTATATATAGCATATTTTCCATTATTCAACTTATTACTAGGAACATCATAGAAATAATGTTGTTGTCTCCTCTTCCATTAATAAACATTTAGAGCAATAATAGCTCCAGTAGCACTATTGCCTAAAACTGTTAAGTGGAACAAAGTGATCAGCAAAATTTTGATATGTTCCTGCTCATTAATGACAATGAGCTCACACTTCATCATTACACACACACACACAGATATATATATATATATATAAACTTAATTTCTACATTTACATAAGATCATTGAAATTTAGCATAAACACTCACAGGACTTGCGGTGAATTAAAAGTAGTCAATGTCATGGGAATGAATCCTATCAAGCTAGTGTTATGGAGACGCCAATTTCAGAGAGCATGGAGGATTAGTTTGTGAATAATAGCATGCTAAGGTAGAGAGATATGAAAGTAATGGGTAAACATTTTATCATTTAATAAGGTTTAGAATGTGTTACTCCAGTTCTGGTAACATACGACTTGTTCCTAGGAAAGTTTTTTTTTTTTTGAGTGAGCTAGGAAAGTTAATTTACTAAAGCAACAAAATCCACCATTGACTTGAAATTTCTTGTCATAAATATTCCCCACAATTTAACTTTAGTTATGCTATGCAACATTAATAACTTACATTGCTTCTGTGTATGAAAACAACTAATGAAATTTTGGGATGGAATAGAAAGCAGTTAGAAGACAATCAATCTATTCATTGCAGAGGATAAGAAATAATAGAGCTTGGAATTCAACTATTAATTTATCTTGGAATTAATGATCATTTGATTTGCAAGCTCACTTTTATTCATACTTCCCAGAATACATCAAAAACAAAACAAAAATCCCCCTTCACAATTTACTGTGAGTAAGATAAATTTACATGGAAAAAGATCAAGAACAAGACTACAGGTGTTTTTTCTTCTTCTTGTTGCTTGCCCTCAACTAGGCATGCTCAAAGCCTTAATAACTATTTGAATGATAACAATCCAATGTTAAGAAGAGCAAGCAAGATGTCGTGCAAAAAAAAAAAAAAGTAGTTTTTGAAGCTTGCTCAATGTTTTTGGGATGCTACTAGATATGTGATTCATGTGTAGATCCAAGCTCAACAAACTTGTCAAATATCCAAATTCATCTCGGATTTGTGCAATAATATTATTACTAAAAAAATTTCCTAACATAGAAAAGAACAAAAATTCAGATTTGAGCAAAAAGAAAGGCCCCAACGAATAGTTATATGATGACAGAATATGAGTCCAAATTCAGTAATTAGCTGTTGAATCTGATGGTTGATAAAGTGAGGTTCATTATATCTTTTGTCTTAGTCCATCCAATGAAGCACCCCTTTGATCTCAGGATATTCTCTTTATTTTCTAGAGTTTCTTTCCTGTGTAATAATAATTAAAATATATGCATTTCTTTTCAACCAAGCCATTGGGATGGACTGATGGTTTTGAAGTGAGAAAATAATTCTTAAAAATTGACAGTTAGAATATAATTTTTGTTTTAGACTTTATTCATATTAAAATATTAATTTAGAAAAAAATAGATTAAATATGGACTGTTTGATTTTTAATTTGATCAGTTTAGATTTTGAAACTAAACCCTCCTAACATGAGATCATTTGCATTTATCTAATACTCCCTCTGGTTCGATTGATAAGTTTCAAATTTAGAGAGGAGTATGATCTATTTTATAAGCTTCAATTTATGGTTTATCTTAATATTTGATATATTGTTTTCAATGTTACCCTTAATTATTTCTATATTTTATATTTCCCCACATATTCTCCTTCATCCTTTGTTTCATTTATTATAAGTACATATTTAAGAACAAAAGTATATTTTTAACTTATTTATTATTTTTAACTAATTTTAACTCTATTTATTATTCGTAAATTAGTTATTTAAAACTTATAATGAGTAGTAGAGTGAGTAATTCTCTAGTATGTATTTTGGTTTTGTCGTCAATTCTCTAACATATACTCCTCTGGCTCTATTTATAAGGTAGAGAAAGAATATTTTTTTAGTTACATTTACGAGTCATTTCATTAAATTTTTAATATGAATATACTATTTTGTCTTTTTTTTATTATAGTGTAGATATTTATTTTTTTAAAATGTTGTATATATTAAATAGGGATACGGTTAAAAAATTGTTATATTTTAAATAAGAATTAATGCAATTCAAGTTTTTTTTTGTCTATATAAAATATATTGGAAGTTCTTTATAAATAGAATCAGAGGAATATTACTCTCATCAATATTTTTTTTCATATGGCTTTACTAACAAGTTTGTATAAATTGAAAATTCTGGTCAAAATTAATTAAAGTTTTTAAAATTTCGAAATCACCTAAAATTATTTTGTCCAAAAAATAAAAATAAAAATAAAAATGAAAACATCATTGAAGTTGGCATTGCCCATCGCACACGTTATGATTGTTATGTCCGCCTGTTTTGAGCCATACACGCTCCAATGACTTTGGCATTGACGATGACTCATTAAATACGTCTTTCAATAGGATTGTTTCGAATAGGATTGCTTCCAATCAGAGGATGCTTATGGTTCAGCCCCCAAAAAAAAGTCTTTCATAAGATGTAGAAAAAGGTGAAAAGTTAAGTGGTTTTTTGTTTGTATAAAATGAAAGGCATCAAAATATACTCTTCCAACTAGTAATATAAAACTTAATTATTAAGTTAATTTTAATCTTAAATATAAGACTTGATTTTCATATTTATCAGTTTTTCTTAAATTACTCTTATAGATATTCTCTCAACTATAATCAATAAGTCAGGGAGAAAGGATATTAAGAAAAATGATTATAGTATTTTAAAAAAAAACATATTGTATTTTTTATAATTAATTAACTTATCTAACTTTTTTAATCTAATCAAATTAGTTAAATAAGTGTTATATTAAAAATCAGAGGAGTATTATATATTGAATGCAGCGTCGATCAGGCATAGCATTAAAGTTAAACTAGCTCAGCTTTCATCATTTTGAGTTGGTGATTCAGAATGATAATTAAATGGGAAAATGACACTACGGTCCCATGCAACACAAAATACTACCAAAAGGTCCCAAGAAATTTGGTAATGATTCTTAAGTCCCAAAAGGACTTGAGTGTAATTTGGTGAATTGTAAAAAGACACCTCTGCCCCTGGTGAGATGTACCCCACTAACTGAAAGCTACCCTGTTTTTCAGTCTAAAAATCGGCACTCCATATGCAGGAAGCAAGAGGAAAAAAAAACCCAAACTTTATTCTGCTTCTTCCCTCATTCCCATCTGAAATTCTCATCTACTCCATTAATGTCAATCATTAGCAAAAAATCGCTTGTGGTTTTGATTTGGTGTGTGTTTGGTCATTCAAGTTGGGGTTTTATTATAGGTGGGTAGGGTGATTATGGGTGTTCTATTTTTAGGTATATTGTGGGTGGGTTGAAGGTGGGCTTGTCCTGTCTGGGGATGGTTCAGGGGGAATTGACGAGAAAGATGAAGGTTGGTGTGGTTAGAAACCCTTACTGCAAAATAGGAAAATATGTTGTCAATATGGGTCGTGACAATTGTCAATATAGTTTCTTGACTTGTCAATAGTAATAGCATTGTACAGATTTACATTAACTGATTTTTTAAATTTTTTACAGAAAGGCCATGACCTTTTGTACTCTTGACTCATTGGTAGAGGTCACAAAAAGAGGAAGAAAAGGCAACAAAGAAGGGTGAGTAGTTACATAAGGCAAAAGAAAAAAAAAAAAAGAAAGTCACTTTGATCCTAGACAAATGATGGCAAAAGACTTTTTTGGTAAATAAAAGTGACATAATTTTTTTTTGTAGATGTCACAACACACACAAATAATTAGTTTGATACTAGATATATGCAACTATATATATTTTTTAATGGGCTATAAAATCAGTGTAATTACATGTATATGAAGTTGTAAATAAAAGTTAGCTATATATTACATTCTGGTGCATAGTTAGTTGTCATTATCCACACCCTTCATTGTTAATACATGCTTCGTCACTTGTCACTTATTACACCATCAGTTGTCAATTAATGTGCTGATATAAATTAAAAAAAAATATGATTTTTGTTACATAATATTATACAACGTTATACAATATCACTAATTCCTTAAAACTAATCCATTTTTTATAATGTGATATAGAATAATTATTAAAAGCCAATCATCACTGATATGAAATCATAAAATCACTTGTCATGAATGACATATTCACTTGTTAATGGTTTTGCTTTGTTTTGATGTTAGTTTAGTAGTAAAGGAAGAAAAAGATAAAGGTGAATGTGGGTAGAAACTCTTAGCAGGAAATAGGATATTGTGTTGTCAATCAGGCCGCGATAGTTGTCAATGTGTGCCACGACAGTTCTTAACGTAGCTCCTTGACTTGTCAATGACAGTTGCGTGATTCTTGATGCAGGTTTAAATTACTGATGATGACTACATCTAGAAAGCATCTATTTTGCTTTGTTCATATAGGGAGAAAGTTTATAAATGATAGAAAAGATGATATGAGATATGTGGGAGATAGTGTAAGAACAACAAATATAAAAGAGGACACAAGTTATGAAGAATTGAAAGAAATTATATTATCAATTGCTGGAAAAGAAAGTAACTCATTTCTTTTGAAATTTTCAGTTGTGTATAGCTCAACAACACCCAGTGTAGAAATTAAAAACCTGAGTTATCTAAAACAACAAGTAATATAACAGG